GGGGGCTATGAGGGGACTATGAGGGGTAATAAGGGGACTATGAGGGGGCTATGAGGGGACTATGAGGGGTAATAAGGGGACTATGAGGGGACTATGAGGGGGCTATGAGGGGGCTATGAGGGGCAATAAGGGGACTATGAGGGGACAATGAGGGGGCTATGAGGGGCAAAAAGGGGACTATGAGGGGACTATGAGGGGACTATGAGGGGGAATAAGGGGACTATGAGGGGCAATAAGGGGACTATGAGGGGACTATGAGGGGACTATGAGGGGGAATAAGGGGACTATGAGGGGAAATAAGGGGACTATGAGGGGACTATGAGGGGGCTATGAGGGGGCAATGAGGGGACTATGAGGGGTAATAAGGGGACTATGAGGGGACTATGAGGGGACTATGAGGGGACTATGAGGGGGCTATGAGGGGACTATGAGGGGACTATGAGGGGGCAATAAGGGGACAATGAGGGGACTATGAGGGGGCTATGAGGGGACTGAGGAGACTATGAAGGGGCTATGAGGGGACTATGAGGGGACTATGAGGGGCAATAAAAGGGAATATGAGGGGACTATGAGGGGGCTATGAGGGGACTATGAGGGGGCTATAAGGGGACTATGAGGGGCAATAAGGGGACTATGAGGGGGCTATGAGGGGACTATGAGGGGCAATGAGGGGACTATGAGGGGCAATAAGGGGACTATGAGGGGGCTATGAGGGGGCTATGAGGGGACTATGAGGGGGCTATAAGGGGACTATGAGGGGACTATGAGGGGACTATGAGGGGTAATAAGGGGACTATGAGGGGACTATGAGGGGGCTATGAGGGGGCTATGAGGGGCAATAAGGGGACTATGAGGGGCAATAAGGGGACTATGAGGGGACAATGAGGGGGCTATGAGGGGCAAAAAGGGGACTATGAGGGGACTATGAGGGGACTATGAGGGGGAATAAGGGGACTATGAGGGGAAATAAGGGGACTATGAGGGGACTATGAGGGGGCTATGAGGGGGCAATGAGGGGACTATGAGGGGTAATAAGGGGACTATGAGGGGACTATGAGGGGACTATGAGGGGGCTATGAGGGGACTATGAGGGGACTATGAGGGGGCTATGAGGGGGCAATAAGGGGACAATGAGGGGACTATGAGGGGGCTATGAGGGGACTGAGGAGACTATGAAGGGGCTATGAGGGGACTATGAGGGGCAATAAAAGGGAATATGAGGGGACTATGAGGGGGCTATGAGGGGACTATGAGGGGGCTATAAGGGGACTATGAGGGGCAATAAGGGGACTATGAGGGGGCTATGAGGGGACTATGAGGGGCAATGAGGGGACTATGAGGGGCAATAAGGGGACTATGAGGGGGCTATGAGGGGGCTATGAGGGGACTATGAGGGGGCTATAAGGGGACTATGAGGGGACTATGAGGGGGCTATGAGGGGACTATAAGGGGACTATGAGGGGGCTATGAGGGGCAATAAGGGGACTATGAGGGGACTATGAGGGGCAATACGGGGACTATGAGGGGACTATGAGGGGCAATAAGGGGACTATGAGGGGACTATGAGGAGAAATAAGGGGACTATGATGGGACTATGAGGGGCAATAAGGGGACTATGATGGGACTATGAGGGGGCAATGGGGGGACTATGAGGGGACTATGAGGTTCAATAAGGGGACTATGAGGGGACTATGAGGGGGCTATGAGGGGACTATGAGGGGACTATGAGGGGCAATAAGGGGACTATGAGGGGGCTATGAGGGGCAATAAGGGGAATATGAGGGGCAATAAGGGGACTATGAGGGGACTATGAGGGGCAATAAGGGGACTATGAGGGGCAATAAGGGGGCTATGAGGGGACTATGAGGGGACTATGAGGGGCAATAAGGGGACTATGAGGGGACTATGAGGGGACTATGAGGGTGCTAACGTAAATGTGAACATCCTTTTGATTTCAGTGATTCATTATGAAATACTGTAATGAAACTATCTAATGTGAATGATTGAAAATAATACTATATCAGACCAACAATGTGTACTTTTCTTTATGTTATTAGAAATGTCTTCGCCTTGTGGTACCAATGCCTAAAATGTCCTTTCCTCAAAGTTTACTATACTTTCAATCTAGTGTTTGTGCAGAATGCTGATAAACAAGTCTCTGAGTCTGTTGGTTCCTATAGGATATTTTTGCAACATCCTCAGAAGTGACATTTGTCTGTTTCCTTCCAATTAGGACCTAATCCGGCATGAACTGGAACTGTGCACTGCATTTGATGAGTAAAAGTCGCCCTAATGTTTTTTTCTTTAAATTATAACCAGTCCGTAAAGTGTGCCTCTATTTGATCCTGTGCTGGATTTGTGCACTCATCCATTGAGGAGGTGTTAGGAAAGGAAGAGGGCAGAGTTGTTAACTAGCGGAGCTACAATCACAGGAAGGAGGAGGGTAGGGTTTTGTGGTGCACTACCAGGGGAAATCTCCTCTATTACTTTGCGTGGGAGCTCAGGATGAATTGTAAAGTTATTGAATGCAGACAGCAGGCCTGAAGACAGACAGGAATATTAAAGGAAGAGGCATCTTATCACACATAACCATGTTGGAGTCACACCACTGTCGTGGAAAGCTTCCTCCCTGCTCTGCCATACAGAGACAACTACTGGATTTGTCAAAATATGAAGAGAAGGAATAAACTAGGAGACCAGATTACAAAGGTTCCAGTCACTTTCCCTTCCTATAGTCGGATGCACCTCGGAAACTTTGCAGATGTGAATTCAGAGATTAAGGTGAAGAAGAGTTTTTGCGATGTTGTGATGAGTAGGCAGAAGATGGAAAAAGTACTTCTGAGGTACTTGCAAAACAAGATGAGAAAACGTTGAGTATATCGCCATTCTAACATGAAGGAACCTTTAATTTGAAATAATAGTACATTATTTGTAAGTTTTGAACAGATAATTCATATTGAAGCTTTTAAAATACATTTTTGTTGAAGTAGACAAATTATTATGTACATATGAATATGAAATTGATCACATAATAATTTCTCACCTTGTTAAAAAAAATGCAGATAGGCAAAACATGGTGCCAGTCTGGCTCAGCATTGAATAACTATGGATTTATCATTGGGGTGCTATTGAGACTAAACACAGCCTTGAATGATTCACATTACTCAGAGAGAGAGAGAGAGAGAGAGAGAGAGAGAGAGAGAGAGAGAGAGAGAGAGAGAGAGAGAGAGAGAGAGAGAGAGAGAGAGAGAGAGAGAGAGAGAGAGAGAGATTTCTCCCAAAGCCCCAGTGTTTGTCATCACAGTGTAATGTTTCAAACAGCCCCCATAGCTACAGAGTGCTCTATCACTAATACCTAATAAATAATTCAGGTCACTGTGTTTTGCTATTGTTTAACATTGGGAAAGCTGGGAAACATAAAGGATCGCTTGCTTAATGGAACCTTGTGCACATTGAGAGAAGAAAACATTCTCAAGCCTGCGTTACATTAATGCTTTAACTTGAATCTAAGTGTACAGTATGGAAAATGAGAGGCAGGTACTGCTATTATGTGAATGTATAGTGTTACAATGTGTATCATGTCCAGTAGTGCATTGCCTATTGTATAAACTGCCAGAATTGAAACGTCAGGGTCACGACTATTTGAAGGCAGGTGAATAACATTATTCATAACCTGGAAAACAAGATGAAGTATACTACAATGCCATAACAATTTACTTTTCAGGAGACAGCCACTGACAGCTAATAATGCAATATCATAGCTATAGCTCTTTGCTCTGGCTAGATGTACTGTACACGATGTACATGACTGTTACTAGATTACACTGAAAGAACAAAACAGTGAGCTGGGATGAGAGGGAGTGGGGGGCTATGTAAGGTCTTCATAATCACTTCATACTTTACTGTACGCATCCTGCTCAGAGTCTGTCCTGATTACTCTACAGAGTCTACATCCTCTTTATGTCTCAGCCTAACATCCTGACTCATTATGTCACATTGTAATCACATGTCCAAAATGATAAGACTAAATAAAGTAGATGAAATTCATTAAAACCAACAAAAATAACATACACTCTGACCAGGTGAAGAAAATAGTAACAAAAAAAAGGAAAGATTATCAAAATATCTATAGAATTCACTCACCATAACAACACATCAAGAAACTAAAGTAGTCTAAATAGGAAATGAAATAAGTTAACATATTTTTTGTGACATAGAAATTTACAGTATATACATTCAATTTTAAATTAAGATGTCTGTGTTGATTGGTGGCTCTGTCTTTTCTATGAGTTCCACGTCTCACTGAAAAGCTGTTTCCCATCAGTAACTAATCGCCTCGTTGGATCCAGAGTCAGAGAATAGATCCAGCCAATCGGAGTGCAGTAAGGTTTTCTTTAATAAGTCCCTGCCAATTGTCTGACGTGCTAATATCAAGCAGTCATCTCCAACAGGTGACATACTGTACCTTTAGCGAGAAACATGGCAGATATCCACACTTTGAAAATAAAAATAAATAAAAAAAATATATAATATATATTTATAAAATGAAAAAGAAAATCACCTGGGGAGTTTGATCTTCTGTCAAGATGGCAGGATACCAAAAGCAAACCAGTTTTCCAGGGTTTTCAGCTTTTTTCATAGTTTTTTTGGGGGGGTTATTTTTTGTCGTTTTCTTCCTGTTTTTTGTTTTTGTTTTTTGTGATACTTTAAGTAGGCTGTTTTTACGAGAGAAAAAACGAAAGTATGTCCTCTTCATATAGTATACAGCAACTGTACATTTTTTGAATGCAAGTAAACAAAATGTAAAAGTGCTTTTTTTTAAGACTGTTATCCAGTATATCGAAAGGAGTAGCAGGCACTTAAGTCCATCCCCATTTTGTAGGTGTTTGACAGTGGAGCAATAAGGTACTCGTTGTGTGAGTTATTCCTGGGGTTTTGATCATCTGTTGGGTAGAGACAGACAACAAAACAGACAGATAGACAAAACTCAACATACACTAGCCCAGGATGTCCAGGTAGACAGGCGTGGCTTTGCCCAAGGCATAGAGGATTTTCTGGATGTCCTTAATGTTCAGCCTCTGCTGGGGCTCCCTCTGCCAGCAACCCAACATGATGTCATACACCTCCTTGGGACAAGCTCGTGGCCTCTCCAAAACCCGTCCTTGCGTAATACACTCGATGACCTGGGGTAGGAGAATGAGAGTGAGAGAGAGAGTGAGGTCACTCATTACAACCCAATTTTGAGCATTATATTGTTTGTCAAAAGCATAACGAGCCATTTGGAGGCAGAATTAGGTTTTGCTTAATCACCTTTGTTAGCACCCCCGAGGCTATGGCACCACAATATTTGTACAGCAGTAATTATATGGGTGCAATGTCAAGGTCATAAAGCACGTTTCAAAGTAAAAGGTTTTGCAGTACACATAAACCAACAAACCTGCAGTGTAGTGCATTCAACATCCCTTTGTCAGACATGCCTGTTAGGGACATGCAGAGTAGGGTTGAATATTTTCTCAGTATTTTACAAATGTTCCATCCTAAGAATAAATCACTCTTCTCGCAGGTAACCAAATATTTCCCACCAAAACCGGAAGTGTCATTCTAAAGCATATAAAGCTTTAAGCCTGATGCTACCTGAGCTTGACGAGCGATACATTGAAGACATTTTATGAGCCCTAGCCCAAAAAAGCCCAAATGATTGTGCCATTATCCAATAGGCCTACGTAGCCTATTATACAGTGGGGAAAAAAGTATTTAGTCAGCCACCAATTGTGCAAGTTCTCCCACTTAAAAAGATGAGAGAGGCCTGTAATTTTCATCATAGGTACACGTCAACTATGTCAGACAAAATGAGATTTTTTTTTCTCCAGAAAATCACATTGTATGATTTTTTATGAATTTATTTGCAAATTATGGTGGAAAATAAGCATTTGGTCAATAACAAAACTTTCTCAATACTTTGTTATATACCCTTTGTTGGCAATGACACAGGTCAAACGTTTTCTGTAAGTCTTCACAAGGTTTTCACACACTGTTGCTGGTATTTTGGCCCATTCCTCCATGCAGATCTCCTCTAGAGCAGTGATGTTTTGGGGCTGTCACTGGGCAACACGGACTTTCAACTTCCTCCAAAGATTTTCTATGGGTTGAGATCTGGAGACTGGCTAGGCCACTCCAGGACCTTGAAATGCTTCTTACGAAGCCACTCCTTCGTTGCCCGGGCGGTGTGTTTGGGATCATTGTCATGCTGAAAGACCCAGCCACGTTTCATCTTCAATGCCCTTGCTGATGGAAGGAGGTTTTCACTCAAAATCTCACAATACATGGCCCCATTCATTCTTTCCTTTACACGGATCAGTCGTCCTAGTCCCTTTGCAGAAAAACAGCCCCAAAGCATGATGTTTCCACCCCCATGCTTCACAGTAGGTATGGTGTTCTTTGGATGCAACTCAGCATTCTTTGTCCTCCAAACACGACGAGTTGAGTTTTTACCAAAAAGTTCTATTTTGGTTTCATCTGACCATATGACATTCTCCCAATCCTCTTCTGGATCATCCAAATGCAACTCTAGCAAACTTCAGACGGGCCTGGACATGTACTGGCTTAAGCAGGGGGACACGTCTGGCACTGCATGATTTGAGTCCCTGGCGGCGTAGTGTGTTACTGATGGTAGGCTTTGTTACTTTGGTCCCAGCTCTCTGCAGGTCATTCACTAGGTCCCCCCGTGTGGTTCTGGGATTTTTGCTCACCGTTCTTGTGATCATTTTGACCCCACAGGGTGAGATCTTGCGTGGAGCCCCATATTGAGGGAGATTATCAGTGGTCTTGTATGTCTTCCATTTCCTAATAATTGCTCCCACAGTTGATTTCTTCAAACCAAGCTGCTTACCTATTGCAGATTCAGTCTTCCCAGCCTGGTGCAGGTCTACAATTTTGTTTCTGGTGTCCTTTGACAGCTCTTTGGTCTTGGCCATAGTGGAGTTTGGAGTGTGACTGTTTGAGGTTGTGGACAGGTGTCTTTTATACTGATAACAAGTTCAAACAGGTGCCATTAATACAGGTAACGAGTGGAGGACAGAGGAGCCTCTTAAAGAATAAGTTACAGGTCTGTGAGTGCCAGAAATCTTGCTTGTTTGTAGGTGACCAAATACTTATTTTCCACCATAATTTGCAAATAAATTCATTAAAAATCCTACAATGTGATTTTCTGGAAAAGAAATTCTCAATTTGTCTGTCATAGTTGAAGTGTACCTATGATGAAAATTACAGGCCTCCCTCATCTTTTTAAGTGGGAGAACTTGCACAATTGGTGGCTGACTAAATACTTTTTTTCCCCACTGTATATAGGCTACCGCACATTACGATAGAAAAACATAAAAGGCCATAGATGTAGCTAGCTATATACTCTCTTGGGTAAATAAATGATACAAGCTCCAGTAGGCTAATCTTTTTGAGGGTGAACTGTATTACTGTACTGTATTGTATTATACTGTATTATATGACTGAAATTACGCACCTCGTTCAAACCATCAAGCTGAGAGAGAACATGCAAAGATGGTGCAGGACATGTGGCCTACAAAGTTACAATTATAGGCTAGCAAATTTGATTGAATTTGGAAATATAACAGGGCCTAATTTACATTTGTATAATTAATAGGCTGACGCATATGTAGGCTATCTTTCATAATATTTCCCCTAATGTTGTGCGACATGGGTATTAGCCTACTTCCTCTTTCTCTATCTATTGTTGCTTCATTCCTTCCTTGCTTTCAACAGTTAAATGAAATACGTTTTGTTGTCCTTATCTTCATTGTAATGACATGCTTGAATAATGTAGGACTAGAATAAGATGCAGACAGCTTTCACTTCTCTTCACGAAGATTGAATGGTTATGGGTTACGGGTGTAAATAAATAACTGATATAGTCTACCGCCATGACGTATTCTCTCTTCTCCCCGTGAGTTCTATTGGCTGCTGTATTTAACATTCAGCAAACAAGAGCTTGCATCCCTCTTCGAATTGTCTATTAGTAGGCTATAAGAAATGTTTTTCTAGTCTAGCTTTTTGTGGGACTCTACGAGCTAAGGAGCATTTTTTAAGGCCAGCGGTGCACAGGTGCGTATTGCACAAGAGACAGAGGCCACATAGGCCCATGCACAACCCATCATTCATTAGATATATTGCTAATACTGCATTGAATGTATTACCTGAAAGGGGTAGGATAGGACATCTATATGAAAAGTATGATCTATTTTGGATGCAATTTGAATGGAATTGATGGAGAGAGAGAAAGACTGCGAGAGCGTCCACTGAAAAATTGGGTGGCCCCGAAAGCCAGATGGAGATGTGTAAATTAGATGCGCATTCAGTCCTTATATTACTGTAGCATAGGCTACACTGCAGCAAATGTAGGCCTACCTTTCACAAGAAAAAAAGTTACCATGATGAGATGATACATGCATTGTGAACTGTGCTCCTACTGAGATGCGCTGTCTGTCCCCACCCTGAGCGTTGATGATTGATCATGCAGACAGCAGAGAGAAGGCCATAGAGAAGCCATATTTAGACATCTCATTTAATTTAACAGTTCCATTTCACGTCATGCTGTTCATATAAATAATTTATTATAATTTACCGGTTTCTCAGTTATTTACCCCAGGAAAAGGGAGTGGGTTTGGGGCGGGATATCTCGGTAACCTCGTTTCCTGGTATTCAACCCTAATGCAGAGCCATGTACAGTGGGGCAAAAAAGTATTTAGTCAGCCACCAATTGTGCAAGTTCTCCCACTTAAAAAGATGAGAGAGGCCTGTAATTTTCATCATAGGTACACGTCAACTATGACAGACAAAATGAGGAAAAAAAATCCAGAAAATCACATTGTAGGATTTTAAATGAATTTATTTGCAAATTATGGCGGAAAATAAGTATTTGTTCAATAACAAAAGTTTCTCAATACTTTGTTATATACCATTTGTTAGCAATGACACAGGTCAAACGTTTTCTCTAAGTCTTCACAAGGTTTTCACACACTGTTGCTGGTATTTTGGCCCATTCCTCCATGCAGATCTCCTCTAGAGCAGTGATGTTTTGGGGCTGTCGCTGTGCAACACAGACTTTCAACTCCCTCCAAAGATTTTCTATGGGGTTGAGATCTGGAGACTGGCTAGGCCACTCCAGGACCTTGAAATGCTTCTTACGAAGCCACTCCTTCGCTGCCCGGGCGGTGTGTTTGGGATCATTGTCATGCTGAAAGACCCAGCCACGTTTCATCTTCAATGCCCTTGCTGATGGAAGGAGGTTTTCACTCAAAATCTCACAATACATGGCCCATTCATTCTTTCCTTTACACGGATCAGTCGTCCTGGTCCCTTTGCAGAAAAACAGCCCCAAAGCATGATGTTTCCACCCCCATGCTTCACAGTAGGTATGGTGTTCTTTGGATGCAACTCAGCATTCTTTGTCCTCCAAACACGACGAGTTGAGTTTTTACCAAAAAGTTCTATTTTGGTTTCATCTGACCATATGACATTCTCCCAATCCTCTTCTGGATCATCCAAATGCACTCTAGCAAACTTCAGACGGACATGTACTGGCTTAAGCAGGGGGACACGTCTGGCACTGCAGGATTTGAGTCCCTGGCGGCGTAGTGTGTTACTGATGGTAGGCTTTGTTACTTTGGTCCCAGCTCTCTGCAGGTCATTCACTAGGTCCCCCGTGTGGTTCTGGGATTTTTGTTCACCGTTCTTGTGATCATTTTGACCCCACGGGGTGAGATCTTGCGTGGAGCCCCAGATCGAGGGAGATTATCAGTGGTCTTGTATGTCTTCCATTTCCTAATAATTGCTCCCACAGTTGATTTCTTCAAACCAAGCTGCTTACCTATTGCAGATTCAGTCTTCCCAGCCTGGTGCAGGTCTACAATTTTGTTTCTGGTGTCCTTTGACAGCTCTTTGGTCTTGGCCATAGTGTAGTTTGGAGTGTGACTGTTTGAGGTTGTGGACAGGTGTCTTTTATACCGATAACAAGTTCAAACAGGTGCCCTTAATACAGGTAACGAGTGGAGGACAGAGGAGCCTCTTAAAGAAGAAGTTACAGGTCTGTGAGAGCCAGAAATCTTGCTTGTTTGTAGGTGACCAAATACTTATTTTCCACCATAATTTGCAAATAAATTCATAAAAAATCCTACAATGTGATTTTCTGGAAAAAAAAATCTCAATTTGTCTGTCATAGTTGACGTGTATCTATGATGAAAATTACAGGCCTCTCTCATCTTTTTAAGTGGGAGAACTTGCACAATTGGTGGCTGACTAAATACTTTTTTCCCCCACTGTATTTAGAGAGTTGGGCCGCTGCAGTTTCTGAATTATGATGAATTTACATGACACTTCAACATTCTATGGCCACCATGTTAGCTCCATAGAGGTCCTATTAAATTAATTAGTATTCTAATTCCTAATTCTATGGTTCGTTCCCCATTAACATTACATGGGAAATACTTAAACAATGCTATGTAACTGAATGTCTAGAATAAGAACATTCAAAATTCTTAAAGTTGGCCTAACTCTCGAAATATATGGCTCTGGGGACATTTCGCAGGTGATCCCTCTGGGCTATTGGGGGAAATTGGGACTCTATGAGTTGTATTGATCTGTGTTTGTTCGGTGTGTTCTGTTGAATGGCTATGAGAATAACTGCCTCAGGTTCACATCCACAGACACACACACAAAGGAACCCGACATGACCAATCATTACCAATTCATCCACTCTGTGCAGTGTCAAACAGGTCAAAGATTATAATGTGATTGCCATGCTAGTGAAGCACACATGTGCGTTTTATGTTATGTTGTTGATGTTGTCATGTTATATAGCTTTGCTGCTCATTTTGATTGGATAGTAGGTGTGTGTATTGGTACATATTATAATGAGACCTTTGTAGCTAAAAATAGGACCACTTAAAGGTAGGGTTAAACAAATCAACTCCAGGTGAGTATGGTATCTTTGTTCTGCTGTCTGTGTCTATTTCTGGGTCTATTTTAGGAGCATTGAGAGGCTGTGTTGTAGTCAGCGTGATGCGCTGTCTGCACAACTGCAGCCTAAAGGCTCTTTCCACAGGCGTTCGTTGAGTCAGTGAGTCACCACAGCCCCCCGACTGCAGCCCAGCCGAGACCTGTCTAGGAGTCTGGTTATGGTTTCTATACCTATGGCTGGGTTCAGGATTGATTCATAATGCTGCTTTTCAGGTGTCAATGTAATGGGACAAGCAAATATATAAACAATGGCTCTGTCAAACTGTACATGCTGAAGTTTGGCTAGAACCTGGGGCATTGTTGTTCTGACATTTTAATTATCACGCCTTTAAGAAAATTGTGGAATTGGTTTGGTGGACTATTGAACTCACAAATTAGTATGGTCCTTCATAGCTTCTGTCATTGTCAACAGTGTGATGTCTTTATGGTGGTTGGTTGAGAGGAATTTCAGTGGCTGTCTGCACATCATCACTACTTCTATGTTCTATAGATAGAGAGCCTGGTGTAAAATGGCTGTGGCTCACCTCACATGCCATCCCTTGTCTTGTATATTTATGGTGGCTATAAGACTTGTGTGTGTGTAAGTGGGAGTGATTTCATTTCAACACTCTCAGCTCACACTAATATAATTTAGCTGCTGCTCTCTTGTCATCTTTGTTTTAATTGATTTCTCTTCTGGTCCAATATTGAGCCCAAAAGCCACTCTAAGAATACGCCAATTAGCCTCTCTCACACTGCACCATTCTAGGGATTAGTAAGAGCGCTATGAATCACTGGCCCTGGTTATCCACTGATGTGGTTAGTACAAATGTGACTGTTGGATGGTAGTCTTGTCCTAGGCAACAACTGTCGAATGCACATTATTGCATGTGTTTATGTTGCGTATTTTCATTACTGTTTAGCAGAAAAAGAACAGAATACAAAGATGGGTGTGCTACAGTACCTCATTGTTGGCCAGTTGAAACCATGGCTGCTTCCCGTAGGTGAAGATCTCCCAGAGGATGACACCGAAGCTCCACACGTCACTCTCTGTGGTGAACTTCCTATACATTATGCTCTCAGGGGGCATCCAGCGGATGGGTAGCATGGTGTGGCCTCCCACCTAGAGACACAGAGAGAGAGAGAGAGAGAGAGAGAGAGAGAGAGAGAGAGAGAGAGAGAGAGAGAGAGAGAGAGATATAGAGCTATCTAAGCGATGCTATCGACTCGAGCAGATCTCTACGCTCCCCCTCTCTAGAGCTCCGCGACTGAGAGGCCCTCGCTTTAATCTTCTGAGAGAGCGTCAGACACACACCTGTTATGGACCTGGGCTAACTGGATTTAAAACAACTGAAAAAGAAAATGTCAAAGAAACTGTAAATAAAAAAGTTTTTGAATTACATATTCACGGAAAGGCATGCAGCAGACACACTTTGAAAACATCAAAATGGTATTTTCTAGTTAATTTTATTTATTCAGTCATTTATTTTAAACTTTTATTTTTCTTATGAAATATTTGAGAAGAAGGGAAACCTACACAGCCCTGTAACACAGAAGATGAAGAAGAGTCAAATGAGGCTCAGCTGGGAGGAGGAAGAGAAGATTGCGCCAAGAGAGGGAAGGAAAAAGGATCAATTAAAGAAGTTTGACAGCTTCAAGCCATGCAGCAACATAAATGAAGTCTTCCCCTCAGCCTTCCCATTCCCACTGCCAGATATTAATCGATTAAAACAATGAGGCATTAATTCTCTGTGCCCTTGTCTTTAACTCAACTGGATTGTTTCTAAATCTGTTTCCTATTCATGTCAATTACACTGTGTTAATCATATCCGTGGAAGGGTTGAACAAGAGTGACATTTTAATAGGGGATGTCTGATTATTGTTACTTTCAACTCTTAAGTGGTAGCTGCATATTAATTACAGAACTCATTAGCACTGAACTAACTATGGGTCAAGGTATTGACTGAGCATGTGAATACAAATAAGTTAACATTACATTACATTCCCACATTACTGACACTGTAGCTATAAAGGATCAGTCTACCATGTTTGCCATCGATAATAACAGTATATTATAGCGTCAGTTTCCTTCTGGTGATTATGTATTGTTGGTTTATCTTTGTTAAATTTGGCCTGCTGAACATTATAATAAGTTGTTCCGTTTTACATCTCCATCATACTCACCCCTTCCTTCTCCCCCTCCTCCTCCTCCTCCTCCTCCTCCTCGTACGCCTGCTCTCCTTTTTTAAGATTTATGAAGGTTTATTAATGAGATTATGGTAAAATGTCTGCTGGACCACGTCTCATAAAGCCTGTGTGAATATGGAACCCTAACGCCACTACCACACTCTACTGATCTTCTCCCAAGCTGAAAAGAGAAAAAAGGCTGTTTCAAAAATCAAATGTATTCATGTTCAATCATATAAATGAACCACATCTAATTATAAATAAGCGGGATGCAGATTTAAAATGTGTGTCCGTACTGTGCAGAAAAGGGTATCCAATAGTAGAATGTGAAGCCAAAGCAGGTCTAAGAGTTTTAATGCATTCCAGGACTATTAGGGAAAGGGGTATTTGTCTATCATACAATACACACACTACAACCCTAATGTTCACTGTAACATCAACTTAAATTGTCTTACCTTGAAACATCACCTTCGCCATAGCTCTACCCTACTATCACATCTCCTGATTCAACCCCAGCCCTACCTCATAATCAGTACTTGACAGGGAACATGTCGGAATGCCCGGGGAATTACCTAAGACTTCTCCTTCATACTACATTTGTAAGGGTCTCTGAAGTGAATTGGTTTCCCTGCTGCAATGACCTGACACCCTTTCCATTCATTGACTTCTTTATGTGGACAGATTGTTCCTCACCAGACTAATGTTGGTAGCACTACATGAGCAGGTACACCGCTCCATAATGCAGGCTGGTGTCCACAACATAGAGATAGGAGAACAGGAGGATGATACAAATTCACATACCGTTTTTGAAAACTTACCACGGTGCTATGATATTTGAAATATTCATAGAAAGACAGATTTGTGTTTGTTACGCTAGCTCTGTCTGTCTTAGGGGACTGGGTCTGCTTCTCGTAGTCAGAGTATTTGTGAACTTGTTTATGTGTTTGTGTGTGTTGGGAGATTAAATGAATTGATTGAATTTCAATTAATCTTAATGGCTTCTCCCTGGCAAGCACCGCCCTCAATTCAGTCTGGGGTTGAACGGCGGACCGTGGAAGCATATAAATCAGAGTGTGGGCTTCCCTTGGAGCAAAATTAAAACTGTCAGGGTGACGACAAAAACTCCACCACAATCTCAAAGCATAGCAGAATTAGCATATAGAGAGACATTTAAATATTGCTAATTTGTACACTCATAGACTGACGATAACATATGCATTGATTGAAGCAACCGTCAATACATTTTCAATATTGTCCATCCATGTTGTTGTTAGTCTAAAGGCAGATTAAACATAATAACAGAGCTGCTACAGTGAGGTATTTGATCCCCTGCTGATTTTGTACGTTTGCCCACTGACAAAGAAATGATCAGTCTATAATTTTAATGGTAGGTTTATTTGAACAGTGAGAGACAGAATAACAACAACAAAAATCCAGAAAAACGCATGTCAAAAATTTTATAAATTGATTTGCATTTTAATGAGGGAAATAAGTATTTGACCCCCTCTCAATCAGAAAGATTTCTGGCTCCCAGATGTCTTTTATACAGGTAATGAGCTGAGATTAGGAGCACACTCTTAAAGGGAGTGCTCCTAATCTCAGCTTGTTACCTGTATAAAAGACACCTGTCCACAGAAGCAATCAATCATTCAGATTCCAAACTCTCCACCATGGCCAAGACCAAAGAACTCTTCAAGGATGTCAGGGACAAGATTGTAGACCTACACAAGGCTGGAATGGGCTACAAGACCATCGCCAAGCAGCTTGGTGAGAAGGTGACAACAGTTGGTGCGATTATTTGCAAATGGAAGAAACACAAAAGAACTGTCAATCTCCCTCGGCCTGGGGCTCCATGCAAGATCTCACCTCGTGGAGTTGCAATGATTATGAGAATGGTGAGGAATCAGCACAGAACTACACGGGAGGATCTTGTCAATGAGCTCAAGGCAGCTGGGACCATAGTCACCAAGAAAACAATTGGTAACACACTACGCCGTGAAGGACTGAAATCCTGCAGCGCCCGCAAGGTCCCCCTGCTCAAGAAAGCACATATACAGGCCCTCTGAAGTTTGCCAATGAACATCTGAATGATTCAGAGGAGAACTGGGTGAAAGTGTTGTGGTCAGATGAGACCAAATTCGAGCTCTTTGGCATCAACTCAACTCACTGTGTTTGGAGGAGGAGGAATGCTGCCTATGACCCCAAGAACACCATCCCCACCGTCAAACATGGAGGTGGAAACATTATGCTTTGGGGGTGTTTTTCTGCTAAGGGGACAGGACAACTTCATTGCATCAAAGGGACGATGGACGGGGACATGTACCGTCAAATCTTGGGTGAGAACCTCCTTCCCTCAGCCAGGGCATTGAAAATGGGTCGTGGATGGGTATTCCAGCGTGACAATGACCCAAAACACACGGCCGAGGCAACAAAGGAGTGGCTCAAGAAGAAGCACATTAAGGTCCTGGAGTGGCCTAGCCAGTCTCCAGACCTTAATCCCATAGAAAATCTGTGGAGGGAGCTGAAGGTTCGTGTTGGAGAAGATCTGCAAAGAGGAGTGGGACAAAATCCCTCCTGAGATTTGTGCAAACCTGGTGGCCAACTACAAGAAACGTCTGACCTCTGTGATTGCCAACAAGGGTTTTGCCACCAAGTACTAAGTCATGTTTTGCAGAGGGGTCAAATACTTATTTCCCTCATTAAAATGAAAAATCAATGTATAACATTTTTGACATGCGTTTGTCTGGATCTTTTTGTTGTTATTCATTTTTTTTTTTTTTGGGTCATTTAGCAGACGCTCTTATCCAGAGCGACTTACAGGAGCAATTAGGGTTAAGTGCCTTGCTCAAGGGCACATCGACAGATTTTTCACCTAGACGGCTCGGGGATTAGAACCAGCGACCTTTCGGTTACTGGCACAACGCTCTTACCCACTAAGCTACCTGCCGCCCTATTCTGTCTCTCACTGTTCAAATAAACCTACCATTAAAATTATAGACTGCCCACTGACAAAGACATGATCAAACGTACAAAATCAGCAGGGGATCAAATACTTCTTTCCCTCACTGTATATACCTTTCCTTACTTGGAACAATGTCATTGGATTGTTGGATTAACATTGCAGCTTGCCAACAGTGGCTGTTGAGGGGGTGTAATGTAATTACAGACCCAGTATAGTTAGTTATTCAGTGACCAGGTATTCAGAATTGATTCTGTATGATTATATAATATAATACAAAATGCATTCCTCTATGATGTGATATCAAGTTTTCATTGTCCACTCCTTAGTTCACAAACACAGTGACATGCCTGCAGACTGAGAACCAACAGCTAATTTGTCATTGGGGAGCCCAGGCATCACTTTCATTATACAGATGGGGGCTATCAGATATGCTGCCTGTGAGAACCCAGCTCAGACCGTGCTCTTGCTTACTGTATCATATCCCTGGAGGGCAGTTTTCTTGGTTCTCCTTGAGGAGAGGAGAGGAGCGGACGTCAATATGTGAGCAGTGTCAGGGAGATGTGTTGCTGGCTGCCGCCCCAATTTATAATCACTCAACAAAAGGGAATGTGTCCAATGCAGTTACGACCTCTTATCTCTCTGTCAGTGGACCATACAGCAGGTCTGTTCTGGCAGAGATGCCCAGGCCTAAAATGGCCAAGGCCCACAGTTCATTTTCAGACCAACATACCAATAGGGGGCAGTCCAGCAGACCTGTTAGTAGTCTGTTGGTGAATCAGACATCTCTCTCTCACAGGCTACTCCACTAATTACCATCTGTACCTGTATGCCGATGAAAATAAAACTAATCTTTCTGATCACATCACTTTTCTCTGATTTTATTTTCTTACTATAACTTACTCGTGTTAGTATCTAAAAGGAGAAAAGCAACATGAAAGCTGTTGCAGTAAAGAGCAGAAGCGGTTGGAACAGTAATTGCACAGTGAAAGTCAAGCACAGTGCCTTAATTTACATCACTTCCTGGTCTCCTAGACACCTTATTGATACATGTATTTTACTGAGCTGCTTGTTGTAAAGTGAAATCAGCCATTAGAGGTACCACTTAGGAAAAGTAGCCTGCAGAATACATTAAGTGGGAGGCGACTCAATGGACTATTTTACATTTATTGCAAATGTAACATATTTTCCACAATGGCAATTACAGACTGTATCTAGTGAAAATCCGATGTACCACAGTAATAATCCCTTTGTGATGCCAGCACAGCTTCAGCAACTCCCTTATCAACTTGGATAAGAGCTCTATATTCAGTCTGGTCACCGTGTCTCCAAGACAAGAATGCAAAAGAATACAGCAAGAATGGTTCTGCCCTACACCTGATACATGTTTAATAATAGGGTCATTACACCAATTGAGTACCTTTTGGGTAGTGTAACTTGGTGAAGTTCACCTAATTTTAACATTCTGTCATAAAGAGCACACTTTCAACTTAATAAAAAACATGTTTTCCCTTCTCAAGAGGTTAAATAAAAAAAGGACTATAGTAAGTGTCTGCTATGTGCCAAATAAAGTAACATGGTTGACTGTAACATTTTCATCTTAAATCAGCCATAAATCCAATTGTGACAGGAGGAATAGAAGCTTGTTGTGTATGGTGTCAATTGAATACAAGCTTCACAAAACAATTGAAATTGTTGAAACATTTCTAGACTATCTATCTATGGGCAAGTCATATAAAAAATCTGAATTATTGAATTTTCCATGTTGTCTATATTAAAGGACACTTCCTTTAATATAACAGGCTTTTAAAATTAAATATTGGTGGATAAATTCTACATAAAATATCAAAGGGACACAAAAGGCACTCTATTCGTAGAACGACCCAATAGACATCATTACAGTGTCTTGCAAAAGTATTCATCCCCATTGGCGTTTTTTTCATATTTTGTTGCATTACAACCTGTAATTTAAATTGATTTTTATTTGGATTTCATGTAATGGACATACACAAAATAGTCCAAATTGGTGAAATGAAATGAAAAAAATAACTTGAATCAAAAAATTATAAAAAAGAAATAACGGAAAAGTGGTGCGTGCATATGTATTCACCCCCTTTGCTATAAAGCCCCTAAATAAGATCTGGTGCAACCAATTACCTTCAGAAGTCACATAATTAGTTAAATAAAGTCCACCTGTGTGCAAGCTAAGTGTCACATGATCTGTCACATGATCTCAGTATATATACACCTGTTCTGAAATGCCCCAGAGTCTGCAACACCACTAAGCAAGGGGCACCACCAAGCAAGCGGCACCATGAAGACAAAGGAGCTCTCCAAACAGGACAGGGACAAAGTTGTGGAGAAGTACAGATCAGGGTTGTGTAATAAAAAAATATCAGAAACTTTGAACATCACACGGAGCTCCATTAAATCCATTATAAAAAAATTGAAAGAATATGGCACCACAATAAACCTGCCAAGAGAGGGCCGCCCACCAAAACTCAAGGACCAGGCAAGGACAGCATTAATCAGAGAGGCAACAAAGAGACCAAAGATAACCCTGAAGGAGCTGCAAAGCTCCACAGCGGTGATTGGAGTATCTGTCAATAGGACCACATTAAGCCGTACACTCAACAGAGCTGGGCTTTATGGAAGAGTGTCCAGAAAAAAGCCATTGCTTAAAGAAAAAAAATAAGAAAAACGTTTGGTGTTCGCCAAAAGGCATGTGGGAGACTCCCCAAACATATGGAAGAAGGTACTCTGATTAGATTAGACTAAAATTGAGCTTTTTGTCCTTCAAGGAAAACGCTATGTCTGGTGCAAACCCAACACCTCTCATCACCCCGAGAACATCATCCCCACAGTGAAGCATGGTGGTGGCAGCATCATGCTGTGGGGATGTTTTTCATCGGCAGGGACTTGGAAACTGGTCAGAATTGAAGGAATGATGGATGGTGCTAAATACAGGGAAATTCTTGAGGGAAACCTGTTTCAGTCTTCCAGAGATTTGAGACTGGGACGGAGGTTCACCTTCCAGCATGACAATGACCCTAAGCATACTGCTAAAGCAAAACTCGAGTGGTTTAAGGGGAACATTTAAATGTCTTGGAATGGCCTAGTCAAAGCCCAGACCTCAATCCAATTGAGAATCTGTGGTATGACTTAAAGTTTGCTGTACACCAGCGGAACCCATCCAACTTGAAGGAGCTGGAGCAGTTTTGCCTTGAAGAATGGGCAAAAATCCCAGTGGCTAGATGTGCCAAGCTTATAGAGACATACCCCAAGAGACTTGCAGCTGTAATTGATGCAAAAGGTGGCTCTACAAAGTATTGACTTTGGGGGGGGGGGGGGGGGGGGGGGGGGGGGGGTGAATAGTTATGCACGCTCAAGTTCTGTTTTTTTTGTCTTATTTCTTGTTTTTTTCACAATGAAAAAATGTGTTGCATCTTCCAAGTGGTAGGCATGTTTTGTAAATCAAATGATACAAACCCCCAAAAAATACATTTTAATTCTAGGTTGTAAGGCAACATAATAGGAAAAATGCCAAAGGGGGTGAATACTGAGCATGCATCACTTTTCTTGTACATTTCCTGGCGTTAGTAAAGGTAAAGAGTTCAGGCATCAATAAAGGAAAAGATAACACATAATCATGAGGAAAGCAGGTGAATGCAGGGTGAACACTACACCATCCAGCTACTGTGTCAAAACACCACCTGTTCTCTAAAGCAAAAACACTGAGTTTGTCACCGAAAGACATCCTTAGATTAGCTTGATTATGAAGGTACTTACAATACATGAATAATATGGAACAAATATTTTATTATGCAACATACATAGGTGCTTACCCGGTAGTAGTCCGTGCTGTAGATGTCCCTGGACATTCCAAAGTCACCAATCTTCACCAGCAGGCCGTTTCCTACCAGGCAGTTCCGAGTGGCTAAATCACGGTGCACAAAGTGCTGGGAGGCCAGGTACATCATCCCCGCGGCGATCTGAGTGGCAATGTGCAGCGTCTGAGACAGGCCCAGCTCCCCATTGGTCTGCAGCGACTGTCCGTCAACCAGGATCAACGCATCAGGCCCATGAGCTCTGTGGATGGGGAAATAAGGGAGGGAGGCAGGGAGGGCGGGCAGGAGGGAGCGGGAATCTTATCTCAATCACCATATTCTTACTCCACATTACATTTTATAATGGATTATAACTCTGCATAGCATATGACAGTGGTATGTTCTTCAGTTGTAATGGATTAGACATTAGATGCATGGTGTTTTACATTCAACCTTTAATTGAAACAGGAACATGGGCCATATCATTACTGTACCAGGGCCTCTATGTGCAAAACCAACAAGAGCTCCTCTGTATGAATGAATGCAGAACAATTGAATAGATATGCTATAACTGTCATGACATTTGCATCTATAAAGCCATCAGCAAGCAATAGACGTCTGCCTGCTCTGCCTCTGCTATTGAGCACCACTGTTCCCTGCCACTGCCAAGCATCCAGGGGCTCAATAACATCCAATCAAAAAGGAGATCAGCCATCTCATTTGAATTCTGAGTCACAGTTTCCCTAGTCCGTGGAGGCTCAGTCAGCAGACTGCCATTACACACAGCGTTTTGTGGTTTTACACAAACAGGTTATCTCTACTTAATCTACAGTGTAGCGAATAGGAAGTCGCTGCTGCTGGTACTGGGTGACAGGTCTAGTGGAAAACAACACAAACATTTTATTACCCCTCCTGTTTCTTGTACGCTACAACATTCCTCTGAGGGGAAGCAATCCATCAATCACAGCCTGATGCTTGCAGTGAAACTGCAGGGTTGTGGCCGATCTACTACACTACATTTAGAACTTATTAGGAAATAGACAGGAACTGGTTTCATCTTTGGAAATGATCACATCTATTATATTGCTGGCCAAAGGATTTATTGTATGACGTTAACTCTAATACTGAGGATAATTATTCAGGTTAGCGTACTGTGGACCAGTAAATCATTAGTGGGGTGCAGTCAGCCTGCCATTAATTGTTGAGTCTACAGACATTGTGTGGTTGGTAAACAGGGGGAGATGCTTCCACACACGTCTCAATTAAGCTGAGTAAATTCCACAATTCCAAAAACACATATATTTACATTTTACATTTTAGATATATAAAGTATGTTTCTCAGTTGACAGCTTTTATAACTCATAGGCTACACCAAAGACACATTTATAGACATAAGAGTTGAGCACGTCTTGCTTATCCCACACGTCTCTGCTTTATTCAACTGAGTAAACTTAGCAATTCCAACAGCACATATCAGAAAAGTCTGTTTCTCAGTTGACAGCTTGTACTCCTGGGCTACAGCACCCAAAGACAGAACTGAGCAAGAGTTGAGCACGTCTTACTTTTCCTACACAATTCGCTGCTTTATTCAGCTGAGTAAACTTTAACTTCCACCAACACACACCAGAAAAGTATTTCTCAGTTGGCAGCTTGTATTACTCCTGGGCTACAGCACCCAAATACTAATTTACTGAACTTAGTAAGAGTTGAGCACATATTATTGTGCATCTTATTGTGCATTTAGTTTACACAGCTTACCTGAGGAACTTATTGAGGTCTCCGTGCTTCATGTACTCAAAGACCATGATAAGGGGGTCTCCATCCACACACACACCGTAGAACTTGACAATGTGCTCGTGCTGCAGGTTGGTCAATAGTTCCGCCTCCCTCTGGAAATCTTTTCTCGCTGCAAGGGTGGGGTCTTTCAGCGTCTGAGAAAATACAAGGGTGGAGTCCTTCAGGGTCTGAGGAGTACAAGGGTTTATTTTAACTGCTTAGCAAAGTATGATACTGTTACAACAACATTATTAGACTGTGGATATAGAGAGGAAAAGTGACCTTAGACATTGTCACTAGCCGGCTACCATCCGGTATTCTACCCTGCACTTTAGAGACTGCTAGTGCCCTATGTACATACAGTGCATTCGGAAATTATTCAGACCCCTTGACTTTTTCCACATTTTGTTAGGTTACAACCTTATTCTAAAACTGATTGAATTGTATTTTTTCCCTCATCAATCTACACACAATACTCCATAATGACAAAGCAAAAACAGGTTTTTAGACATTTTAGCTAATTTATTAAAAGAAATATCACATTTGCAGACCATTTACTCAGTACTTTGTTGAAGCACCTTTGGCAGCGATTACAGCCTAGAGTCTTCTTGGGTATGACGCTACAAGCTTGGCACACCTGTATTTGGGGGGTTTCTCCCATTCTTCTCTGCAGATCCTCTCAAGCTCTGTCAGGTTGGATGGGGAGCGTTGCTGCACAGCTATTTTCAGGTCTCTCCAGAGATGTTCGATCAGGTTCAAGTCCGGGCTCTGGCTGGGCCACTCAAGGACATTCAGAGACTTGTCCTGAAGCCACTCCTGCGTTGTCTTGGCTGTGTGCTTAGGGTCGTTGTCCTGTTGGAAGGTGAACCTTCGCCTCAGTCTGAGGTCCGGAGCGCTCTGGAGCTGGTTTTCATCAAGGATCTCTCTGTACTTTGCTCCATTAATCTTTTCCTCGATCCTGACTAGTCTCCCAGTCCCTGCTGCTGAAAAACATCCACACAGCATGATGTTGCCTTCACCATGCTTCACCGTAGGGATGGTGCAAGGTTTCCTCCAGAAGTGACGCTTGGCATTCAGGCCAAAGAGTTCATTATTGGTTTCATTAGACCAGATAATCTTGTTTCTCATGGTCTGAGAGTCTTTAGATGCCTTCTGGCAAACTCCAAGCGGGATGTCATGTGCCTTTTACTGAGGAGTGGCTTCCGTCTGGCCACTCTACCATAAAGGCCTGATTGGTGGAGAGATGGTTGTCCTTCTGGAAGGTTCTCCCATCTCCACAGAGGAAATCTAGAGCTCTGTCAGAGTGACCATTGGGTTCTTGGTCACCTCCCTGACCAAGGCCCTTCTCCCCCGATTGCTCAGTTTGGCCAGGCAGCCAGCTCTAGGAAGAGTATTGGTGGTTCCAAACTTCTTCCATTTAAGACTGATGGAGGCCACTGTGTTCTTGGGGACGACTGCACCTTTTCTGCAAAGGGGACAGGACGACTGCACCGTATTGAGGGGAGGATGGATGGGGCCATGTGTTGCGAGATCTTGGCCAACAATCTCCTTCCCTCAGTAAGAGCATTGAAGATGGGTCGTGGCTGGGTCTTCCAGCATGACAACGACCCGAAACACACAGCCAGGGCAACTAAGGAGTGGCTCCGTAAGAAGCATCTCAAGGTCCTGGAGTGGCCTAGCCAGTCTCCAGACCTGAACCCAATAGAAAATCTTTGGAGGGAGCTGAAAGTCCGTATTGCCCAGCGACAGCCCCGAAACCTGAAGGATCTGGAGAAGGTCTGTATGGAGGAATGGGCCAAAATCCCTGCTGCAGTGTGTGCAAACCTGGTCAAGACCTACAGGAAACGTATGATCTCTGTAATTGCAAAAAAAGGTTTCTGTACCAAATATTAAGTTATGCTTTTCTGATGTATCAAATACTTATGTCATGCAATAAAATGCAAATTAATTACTTAAAAACATACAATGTGATTTTCTGGATTTTTGTTTTAGATTCCGTCTCTCACAGTTGAAGTCTACCTATGATAAAAATGACAGACCTCTACATGCTTTGTAAGTAGGAAAACCTGCAAAATCGGCAGTGTATCAAATACTTGTCCTCCCCACTGTATATATATATATATATATATATATATATATATATATATATACACTGCTCAAAAAAATAAAGGGAACACTAAAATAACACATCCTAGATCTGAATGAATGAAATAATCTTATTAAATACTTTTTTCTTTACATAGTTGAATGTGCTGACAACAAAATCACACAAAAATAATCAATGGAAATCAAATGTATCAAGCAATGGAGGTCTGGATTTGGAGTCACCCTCAAAATTAAAGTGGAAAACCACACTACAGGCTGATCCAACTTTGATGTAATGTCCTTAAAACAAGTCAAAATGAGGCTCAGTAGTGCGTGTGGCCTCCATGTGCCTGTATGACCTCCCTAAAACGCCTGGGCATGCTCCTGATGAGGTGGCGGATGGTCTCCTGAGGGATCGCCTCCCAGACCTGGACTAAAGCATCCACCAACTCCTGGACTGTCTGTGGTGCAACGTGGCGTTGGTGGATGGAGCGAGACATGATGTCCCAGATGTGCTCAATTGGATTCAGGTCTGGGGAACGGGCAGGCCAGTCCATAGCATCAATGCCTTCCTCTTGCAGGAACTGCTGACACACTCCAGCCACATGAAGTCCAGCATTGTCTTGCATTAGGAGGAACCCAGGACCAACCGCACCAGCATATGGTCTCACAAGGGATCTGAGGATCTCATCTCGGTACCTAATGGCAGTCAGGCTACCTCTGGCGAGCACATGGAGGGCTGTGCGGCCCCCCCAAAGAAATGCCACCCCACACCATGACTGACCCACCGCCAAACCGGTCATGCTGGAGGATGTTGCAGGCAGCAGAACATTCTCCACGGCGTCTCCAGACTCTGTCACGTCTGTCACGTGCTCAGTGTGAACCTGCTTTCAACTGTGAAGAGCACAGGGCGCCAGTGGCGAATTTGCCAATCTTGGTGTTCTCTGGCAAATGCCAAATGTCCTGCACGGTGTTGGGCTGTAAGCACAACCCCCACCTGTGGACGTCGGGCTCTCATACCACCCTCATGGAGTCTGTTTCTGACCGTTTGAGCGGACACATGCACATTTGTGGCCTGCTGGAGGTCATTTTGCAGGGCTCTGGCAGTGCTCATCCTGCTCCTCCTTGCACAAAGGCGGAGGTAGCAGTCCTGCTGCTGGGTTGTTGCCCTCCTACGGCCTCCTCCATGTCTCCTGATGTACTGGCCTGTCTCCTGGTAGCGCCTCCATGCTCTGGACACTACGCTGACAGACACAGCAAACCTTCTTGCCACAGCTCGCATTGATGTGCCATCCTGGATGAGCTGCACTACCTGAGCCACTTGTGTGGGTTGTAGACTCCGTCTCATGCTACCACTAGAGTGAAAGCACCGCCAGCATTCAAAAGTGACCAAAACATCAGCCAGGAAGCATAGGAACTGAGAAGTGGTCTGTGGTCACCACCTGCAAAACCAGTCCTTTATTGGGGGTGTCTTGCTAATTGCCTATAATTTCCACAAGTTGTCTATTCCATTTGCACAACAGCATGTGAAATGTATTGTCAATCAGTGTTGCTTCCTAAGTGGACAGTTTGATTTCACAGAAGTGTGATTGACTTGGAGTTACATTGTGTTGTTTAAGTGTTCCCTTTATTTTTTTGAGCAGTGTATATACAGTTGAGTCTGAGGTTTACATACACTTAGGTTGGAGTCATTAAAACTTTTCATTTTCTTGTTAACAAAATATAGTTTTGGCAAGTTGGTTAGGACATCTACTTTGTGCATGACACAAGTAATTTTTCCAACAATTGTTTACAGACAGATTATTTCACTTATAATTCACTGTATCACAATTCCAGTGGGTCAGAAGTTTACATACACTAAGTTGACTGTGCTTTTAAACAGCTTGGAAAATTCCAGCTAATTGACATAATTTGAGGTGTACATTACATTTTAGTCATTTAGCAGACGCTCTTATCTTTTTTTAATGTTTTTTTTTTTTTTTAATGTTTTTTTTTTCTCATACTGGCCCCCCGTGGGAATCGAACCCACAACCCTGGCGTTGCAAACGCCATGCTCTACATCCCTGCCGGCCATTCCCTCCCCTACCCTGGACGACTTGTGCGCCGCCCCATGGGTCTCCCGGTCGTGGCCGGCTACGACAGAGCCTGGGTTTGAACCAGGATCTCTAGTGGCACAGCTAGCACTGCGATGCAGTGCCTTAGACCACTGCACCACTCGGGAGAGGTATTGGAGTGGCCTGTGGATGTATTTCAAGGCCTAGTTTCAAACTCAGTGTCTCTTTGCTTGACATTATGGGAAAATCAAAATAAATCAGCCAAGACCTCAGAAAAAAATTTGTAGACCTACACAAGTCTGGTTCATCCTTGGGAGCAATTTCCAAACGCCTGAAGGTACCACGTTCATCTGTACAAATAATAGTACGCAAGTATAAACACCATGGGACCACGCAGCCATCATACCGCTCAGGAAGGAGACGCGTTCTGTCTCCTAGAGATGAACGTACTTTGGTGCGAAAAGTGCAAATCAATCCCAGAACAACAGCAAAGGACCTTGTGAAGATGCTACAGGAAACAGGTGCAAAAGTATCTATATCCACAGTAAAACGAGTCCTATATCGACATAACCTGAAAGGCCGCTCAGCAAGGAAGAAGCCACTGCTCCAAAACCGCCATAAAAAAGCCAGACGACGGTTTGCAACTGCACATGGGGACAAAGATCATACTTTTTGGAGAAATGTCCTCTGGTCTGATGAAACAAAAATAAAACTGTTTGGCCATACTGACCGTCGTTATGTTTGGAGGAAAAAGGGGGTTGCTTGCAAGCTGAAGAACACATTTTACATTACATTTACATTACATTTTAGTCATTTAGCAGACGCTCTTATCCAGAGCAACTTACAGTTAGTGTGTGCATACATTATTTTATAATTTTTCATACTGGCCCCCCGTGGGAATCGAACCCACAACCCTGCCGTTGCAACACCATGCTCTACCAACTGAGCTACATCCCTGCCGGCCATTCCCTCCCCTACCCTGGACGACACTGGGCCAATTGTGCGCCGGCCCATGGGTCTCCCGGTTGAGCCTGGAATCTGGATTCCTACGACAGAGCCTGGATTCAAACCAGGATCTCTAGTGCCTTAGACCACTGCGCCACTCGGGAGATACCATCCCAAACGTGAAGCACGGGGGTGGCAGCATCATGCTGTGGGGGTGCTTTGCTGCAGGAGGGACTGGTGCACTTCACAAAATAGATGGCATCATGAGGAAGGAAAATTATGTGGATATATTGAAGCAACATCTCAAGACATCAGTCAGGAAGTTAAAGCTTGGTCTCAAATAGGTCTTCCAAATGGACAACGACCCCAAGCATACTTCCAAAGTTGTGGCAAAATGGCTTAAGGACAACAAAGTCCTTAAGTGGTGATCCTAACTGACCTAAGACATGGAATGTTTTTATGTATTTGGCTAAGGTGTATGTAAACTTCCGACTTCAACTGTAAATGGAAAAATTATCACAATGAGTTTGCTGCGGCCACTTAGGTCATGGCCAGACCTAGTTAAAGCTTGGTCGCAAATGGGTCAATGACCCCAAGCATACTTCCAAAGTAGTGGCAAAATGTCTTAAAGACAACAAAGTCAAGGTATTGGAGTGGCCATCACAAAGCTCTGACCTCAATCCTATAGAAAATGTGTGGGAAAGCGTGTGCGAGCAAGGAGGCCTACAAACCTGACTCATTTACACCAGCTCTGTCAGGAGGAATGGGCCAAAATTCACCCAACTTATTGTGGGAAGCTTGTGGAAGGCTACCCGAAACGTTTGACCCAAGTTAAACAATTTAAAGGCAATGCTACCAAAAACTAGTTGAGTGTATGTAAACTTCTGACCCACTGGGAATGTGATGAAAGAAATAAAAGCTTAAATAAATCATTCTCTCTACTATTATTCTGACATTTCACATTCTTAAAATAAAGTGGTGATCCTAACTGACCTAAAACAGGGAATGGTTACTAGGATTAAATGTCAGGAATTGTGAAAAACTGAGTTTAAATGTATTTGGCTAAGGTGTATGTAAACTTCCGACTTCAACTGTATATATTCCGGACTCTGACATTGCTCCTTCTGATATTGCTCCTTCTGATATTTCTTAATTTCTATTTTTTGGGGAGGTGGGGGATTATGTGTGTATTGTTTTGCTAGATATTACTGCACTGTTGAAGCTAGAAACATAAGCATTTCGCTGCACCTGCGATAACACCTACAAATCTGTCTACAAGACCAATAAACTTTGATTTCATTTTATTTATCTCCTAAATTAATGGAAAATATTTGATAACTGGGAGATTAGTTATATTTCTCAAAGAAACTGAAGAAAGAAATTAATAATTGGGCTTCCTAACAATGAACCGTAGATAAACACTAACATCCAAACACACACACACACACACACACACACACACAGTCTTGTATAGCTAACCTTGTGGAAACACACAATTCAGTCCCATTCAAAATCCTATTTTCCCTAACCCCTAACCCAACCCTAACCCTAACCCGTACTCTTACGCTAACCCTAACCCAAAAACCTAACCTTAACCCTAAACCTAAACATAGCTCCTAACTTTAAAACTAACCCTAGCTCCTAACCTTTACCCTTAGCATAATTCTAACCTTAACACTAATTCTAACCTTAACCCTAAACCACCTAGAAATAGCATCTGACCTCGTGGGGACTAACAAAATGTCCCCAGCTGGTCAAATGTTTGTTTGTTTACTATTCTTGTGGGGACAACTGGTCCCCACAAGAATAGTTAAACACGTCCACACACACACACACACACACACACACACACACACACACACACACACACACACACACAATAACCTGGCTGGTGCGAACAGAACAGAGACAGGGTAATAAATGGAGCAGGGGAGGTAAAGCATTGTAATCTTCCCATTTGAGGAGCAGAACATGAAATAAACATTTCTCTGACAGGTTGTCACAATGACCCGGCAAACCTCATAGATTTACAGAAGCAGATCATTTAGTTATTTACTTCATTATGTGTCCCATATACACAGTCTGACATTTCATTATAGAGCTGTGATAAGAGATGTGCGTGCCTCACCAGATCTAGACGTTGTGGTTGCCTACCATATTGGCTCAGAGTTATGGTATCATTATCGACAAGCTTATCGGCTGGAAATAAACCCCCTTCCTAAATTCCCACCTATGAAATAGTTGGCATTTACACTCAATGTCTTGTCTCCCTCTGATCCACCAACTGTAAAAGGTAGGATTAGCTCCTTATTGCATCTGGGACGACTGCCAAGCAGTAACTCCTGGGTGCTTTTCCATAAAATGTTTTATTTATTTTGTAGCTAAAACTAATGTTCGGAACTAAAATTACTTTTTTCCGGAGATGTTGACGATACAATCCTCCACTTATGTAAAGTCCGCAACAACAACACCACAGCTAAAACATAATAATTCATAGCATTCTTAACACACTATTAATTGCATATAATTAACATTGCCTTACTGTATGAAATTATTTGACAGATAGTTATATATAGGCAATATACTGTATATAGGCGATATATGATTCAACAATGATAGATATCATTGATCACAAGGTTGATCACAAGGTTTTGCTAATGTTTTATACAATTTTGAATTCAAATCAAATCAAATTTTATTTGCCACATGCGCCGAATACAACAGGTGTAAACATTACCGTGAAATGCTTACTTACAGCCCTTAACAAACAATGCATTTATTTCTTAATAAAAAAGTAAAATAAAACAACAACAACAAAAAGTGTTGAGAAAAAAAAAGAGAAGAAGTAAAATAAAATAACAGTAGGGAGGCTATATACAGGGGGGTACCGGTGCAGAGTCAATGTGCGGGGGCACCTGGCTAGTTGAGGTAGTTGAGGTAATATGTACATGTGGGTAGATATTCCACATATAGATATTCCCTTATATCACAAATGCAGAGGGGAATTAGAATGGATGGCAGTGCCCATGGACAGATGGCAAGGCATCCATCCCCATCCTCCCGGATGCTTATGACCCCTGTGCTGCAGTAGAGTGCTGTGTCCTCAGAGTCCACCTGAATATACAGGACATACTAGAGAGCCGACACACAGACAAAACAGCTTTACTGGTAGTGTCCTAGAATTGTAGACCTACACATATATATTCTGACATTCCATTATAACCTATATATAACATAAGATGAAATATAAGTAGCTATGTTGCTGTGGCGCTTACGTTGCAATCTTACCTAACATGAAATACAACCTACAATGTTAAAAAACAACAGCATACACGCCTGTATATTTGTACAGCATCTATTTCAATAGGATCCACTCTGGTGACTGGGGATGTGAAGAAAAGGAAGAAAGAAAAAGCAAGTCAAAAGAAAGCCAGCTCAGTGTTGCCTCCATTATTCATAATCAAAGCATCTGTGGAGTAGAACATTTTGGGAGATGATCTAACATCCCTCACAGACAGCCTGATTTCTCCAGCTGCAGTCTGTCTCTGTAAGGTTGGCCTCTTTCCCCTGCCTCTGCACTGTGGCTCCCTCCACACTATCATGGCTAACATCATTCCATGGATGAGCGCCTTGATGAAGAGTGATGGTGACAAGAGGGAAATAGTGATGAATGTGCCACTTGTCTCCAACCATCATAGTGTGACCCCTCCTCCAGCAGCTGATCTAGGTACCTTTGTATGACCTTTGAACTTTAATATCCTCAACCAGTGTCATGTTAGAGGTGAAATTTGCATTTGAACCCGAGGTTACAATCGTAATCTTTACATGAAATGTAATAAATTAAGCGCAACAATTACTGACAGTCACTTCTCATTTCAAGGAGATTGTGACAGTATGACCCACTGTGTTTCAGGATGGATTTGACACAGTGATGTTATGTGACCAGCTACCAATATCTTGTGATGATTTTAACTGGAAAAAATATATTTTATGAGAATACTGTATCTCTTTTTGCACTAACAACTTAAAATGGTCCAATACACCCATTTTGATCTCAATATTAATAGTACATTACTGTGATTGTTTTGACCTGGTTCCTCCTCTTGACAGCCAACACAGCTGCTATCTACATATGGGTTTCACCTCGCTGTGAAAGGAAGACTCTCTCTGCCACCCTCCCTCACAACCAACCATTCACATTATGCAGGCCCACACCAGCCACACCACCTCCACAGTATTCACCTTGCTTTCTCCTATTGTCCACAATACTGAGTCGATTCCAGTCAACTTTGTGAGCTGCCATTCATAGGTCTATAGATGAATAAGCAAACCCAAAGCAATGTTTGGGGTTGAGAAGTTCATTTTATTAGGGATTTTTTGAGAAGCTTGTCTTTCTAGTTTCTGGGAATCATATAGACAGAGCAGTGGTGTGGTTTTTATTGAAATATAGCCTATGTCTCTTGAGATTGTATTGACCTCAACATAATTCAAGCAATATCAGTTTACCATTATTTAGTTACGGCTATCTTGAGGTTGATATTTAATTAGTTAGTTTCACCCCGTTGGTCAATGATACAGATGCTGAACTATTGAAACTGCTCTCCTTCAGATTACAAACGGTTTCTGTAATGTTCTGTTTCTCAACCATAATCCTCCAGTTCTTCAGTCTAATTGTAAAACCTTTAAGATATATTATCAGTGTTACATACTAGTTATAAGCAGCACCGTAGACACATCTAGTTACAGTATATGATCTCTGTTATTGTATCAAATCTAGGCTAATTCTCTTTTAAGTATCAAAGCGAGTTCAAGAAATCTTGAAAAAGCATCCCTAAAAGTGTCAACAGTGCACTTGGCAGATTGTTTTCAATTAAAATGGTCAAAAAGAAACAAAAACAGCTTCTTAGCAAAGAGCAATTTCTCAAGCAAGAATTTTGCTAGTTCTGTCTGGGAGTGGTCTGAGTGGGGAGGGGAAAACTGAAAACTAGATGTTATTGCCAGAGAGGTTTGGAACTCTCTTTCTTAATGGTCTATTAACTAATTTACCGCCTGGTGATGTTACTCCATCCCACCAAAACAGGCTGACATTTTTGCAGATCTTTTCAAATAACACTAAAAGGGCATTATCATAATTTTCACAATGTCACAGTATTATTCCAATCTCATAGGGTGTAAATATATATAATACACAGGAAAATCTAGTTTGACTGCACTGGGCCTTTAAAATGGATGTTGTTATAAACAGGTGTCTGCATCAACTAGGGCTGATAAAACACAATCCCAATAGACCTGATTAACCTTGAAGCTGTGAAAATCTATACCCTTGTAATAATGGGTTGTAAATGTGTGAACAAACATAATAGGTAAACAAGCTGTTTGGTGGCTACCACCTCAATTATGCCCCAACTGCAATCCAGGAGCAGTCCTCTAAAGTCACATAAATATTGATCGCTGAACATTCAACGCCTCCATTCTCTCTGTGTACCATTGTAACAAGGTACACCATATGGCCCTGGTTGAATGACAGATCTTACTGCTGCCATCAAACCCACTGAGACCTATTTAGGATCAGGAGATCTATGATCACCCTTAAGCCTCACTAACAAGCAGCTATATTTTAACATGCCTCCCATGACAGCCACATTTATTTATTTTTAAAGCTAAGGGAATCACTGAATAAGTCATATTTATAAAGGACCCTGACAAAACGCCATTCATTTGATCAATATCCTTGGCTCAGAGGATTATTATAATTTTTTTAACATATATTTTGGTTAATTGCTCAGCACTAGTGTGTGTGTGTGTGTGTGTGTGTGTGTGTGTGTGTGTGTGTGTGTGTGTGTGTGTGTGTGTGTGTGTGTGTGTATGTGTGTGTGTGTGTGTGTGTGTGTGTGTTAGTGAAGAGGCGAACCCAGATGGTTAATGCCCACCAGTTGTACATAATGCTCATAGTTGTTTGTTCCAGCTACCAGTCTGTTATACAGTTAATGCTACAGTTCATTAGCCTTTTATTTCATATTGAGCACCATTGAGCTTAATTCCAACAGTGAAGCTTTAGCTAAAAGTGACACAAAAAATCTTGACACAAAAGTTGATATTGAAGTCAGCCATAATGACCTGTACAGCATGTAAAACATGTTTAATATTGTGTTAAGTGAACCTGCTAATGAGGTATATAGCTATGAACGTGACTTCCAGGGGGAAATGTTCTCACCTATTAGTCAGCTGCTGCAGTCACCCTGCCCCAGTATCCAAAAAAGGTCTAAATACAAAATGCCTCTTCGGCACCTCAAATGTACTGAGCTGTTGTAGACTTCCGATCTGAGCGTGGCAGTAATGAGTGATTTATATCGGAGGTGCCGAATATGATTTTTTTCCGGTTGCTAGGGAGTAAATTAAGATAGTTGCTCAGCGAATCTCCATATTTGGCGAGTAACAAACATATTTTGACATCATAACACTTGCAGAGCTGTCTAATGGGAGTTTGAATCTGAGCTGCCTGTGCGTTAGAGAGGAGACACGTCATACTCATCATCGACATCTCTAACGCACAGATACTGGGGCACTGTCACCTCATATTGGAGCCTCATACACTCAGTCTGATATGAGACAACCAACATGGTACTCATAGTGACCTCAATGATCATTAGTATGATTATCGATCTACACTACAGCAAAAAAACACATTTTTATCGATCCAAGTTTCCAAATCCTTCTTGTTGAGGCACCTGCCCATGGCAGGTGTGGTGGCCCCAAGAGACGTTCAAGGATCAAGTTAATACAGTTCAGACACTGAGCGCTGAGGGGCCCTGACCTCTGTGAGGGGTCTGCTGTAACTGGAAAGTGAGGTGGCCCTGTGTAACTGAGAGATCATCTCTTACCTTGACAGCCACCAGCATCTTGTCCTTGGTGGGGCTGAGGTTATAGCACTCTGCCAGGAACACCTTCCCAAAGGCCCCTTCTCCCAGCTCCCGCTTCAGAATGATGTCCCGACGTTTTATGTGCTGCACGTCTGTAGATGGAGATGGGGGGGCCAGAGCGCGAGAGAGAGAGAGAGAGAGAGAGAGAGAGAGAGAGAGAGAGAGAGAGAGAGAGAGAGAGAGAGAGAGAGAGAGAGAGAGAGATGAGAGAGAGAGAGAGAGAGAGATAGAGAGAGAGAGAGAGAGAGACATGGTTTAAGTGGTCAGCAGTTCCAGGAGCAACAAACCATCAGTGTTTCTGACAGAATTAGGGGCAAGTGTTAAGTGATGGTTCACTGATGGGACTGGTATGTCTTAAATCCTGCTATGAAGCCTCAGTGGATCTAATGATGAGGTTAGATTAATTGGCTACAGGCATACAGAACACAGCCATAAGACCTGCTGTGGAGCTATAGAGGGTTAGAAGAGATGTGAGGGTAAAACACATGTGTTTGTTACTTACTTACAGCATCCATAAATATACCACAATTAGAAAATGTCCATTGCCCTGTAATGATATAACATATTAGAACCTGCACACCATAGCAACTGCAGTGAGGAAATGTTAATTCCGTTCCCAACCAGTAGGATGCAATGCTTCAAAGTCAAAATGACCCCTTCCCCTTCCAAAAATAAAATAAAGCGATCATAATAATCCAAGCAAACCTGGAAAATGTCAGCAACCTGTCTGCAACCTGTACACTGTGGTAAAATTCTGATGAAATCACAGTTTACAGCCAGTATTAGTCCTTAATCTCAGTGCGTTCCACCTGTTCTGAGTGGCTGAAAGCTGCCTGCTTGGGGAAGTGTGGCTTCCATATGGCAAGTTACAGCAGCAGCTGGTATTTACTCAAAACAAGGGTTCGGATGAGCTGCTGTCCAACACCAATACCCACTACTGTCCAAGGACCAGCCCAGTACGGTACCACAGATCCCCCCTGCAGGACTAGGGCAGAGCAGAGAGATAGGTACATACTGAGGCATTGGATGGACAGAGCTCGTATTACTATTGGTTGGCACAAACAAGGCATTTCCCTTATGAAGCACCAGAGGAATAGTAGCTACAATGCAATGAGCACAATCAACGCAATAACAAATTAATAACAGCATGATAGCGCTGCAAATATTTATGCTTGAACTGCGACCATAGGTAATCTTAAAAACATGTTTGATAATGGTTTGCACTGGACTGAGATTTTTTTTTTACATCTGCAAACCCACACAAATATCGGTAATCTAATTAGATAACATTTATTTAATAAGGATCCAGAAATAAATCATTGTTTTTGTTCTCTGTAATTGCTTCTTTTATCCTCTGCCATCTCAATTTCCAAGAAAGACAGTGATAGGTTTACAATTAGCAGGTAGCTATGGGTATGCTGGAAGGTGTGCTGTCTATCCACACAAAGCAATTAAGGAAGTTACAAATAGCTTGGGCTAATTTTCTCATTACCACAGCGGTTGTGGTGCATTCACCTCTCTGTTTATGTGGGCGAGGGCACCCATTCAGGGAGTTTACCCTCACTGGGCCTTATCTCTCTCAGTGTGGCCCAGCAGCACAGATCACACAGCTGGGATAGAACAGGACACAGTCTTCATCCTAATTAGGCTGCTTTGCTTTGGCAGAGCAGATGTTGACTCCACTGCGCTGAAAATGACAGAAGAGCAAACTAGAGCTGATTTGGTTTCAAATGTTTGCAAATCGTTGGTATTTGATTGGGAATATAGTTACCACAGCAATTCTCTCTGTCTCTGTCTCTGTCTCTGTCTCTGTCTCTGTCTCTCTCTCTCTCCAGTAGACCACAAATGACAGCATTTCATTCAGTCCAATCACTGGTACTTGACTTCTGGATGATTACTTTATGCAAATGCTGCTGTTTTCGGGGGTGACTTTTCATAAAAAGTGACTTCTCATTATATGAACTCTGTTTAACATATTTGAGTTCAAACACAATTGTACAGTAGAGTAAACACAGGTGTCAAATACATACCAAATCTTTAATCTATCAGTAAAAGGCTGTACTTTGAGTACTTTGTAATAGATTCTGCTGTGAACATCACATAGACCCAAATCTTCACTGGAGAAAACAGTTCATTTTACTACCCTTTGGGTTGGGAACTAAAATAGGAAGATGCCACAGTAAACTGAAGCAATATCTGCATGTTCCCTGACCCAGTCCTCAGATGTAAAGTCCCCTAACCTTCCTGTATTAATCAGTGTTTAGGTTAGTAGCGATGTAATCAGATAGGGATTTACTTCCCTCTAAAGCCTTTTTCACACTGCAGGCCTTAATGCTCAAATCTGTTTTGTTTTTCAAATCTGTTTCCAAACAGCAAGTTACAAGTGACCAAATCGGATTTGTGTGTGTTCAGACAGCAGTCATTTGCTGACATGGCTACGCTAGTTGTCATAGTAATGACGGGTATACAGTGGGGCAAAAAAGTATTTAGTCAGCCACCAATTGTGCAAGTTCTCCCACTTAAAAAGATGAGAGAGGCCTGTAATTTTCATCATAGGTACACGTCAACTATGACAGACAAATTGAGATTTTTTTCCCCAGAAAATCACATTGTAGGATTTTTTATGAATTTATTTGCAAATTATGGTGGAAAATAAGTATTTGGTCACCTACAAACAAGCAAGATTTCTGGCTCTCACAGACCTGTAACTTCTTCTTTAAGAGGCTCCTCTGTCCTCCACTCGTTACCTGTATTAATGGCACCTGTTTGAACTTGTTATCAGTATAAATGACACCTGTCCACAACCTCAAACAGTCACACTCCAAACTCCACTATGGCCAAGACCAAAGAGCTGTCAAAGGACACCAGAAACAAAATTGTAGACCTGCACCAGGCTGGGAAGACTGAATATGCAATAGGTAAGCAGCTTGGTTTGAAGAAATCAACTGTGGGAGCAATTATTAGGAAATGGAAGACATACAATACCACTGATAATCTCCCTCGATCTGGGGCTCCACGCAAGATCTCACCCCGTGGGGTCAAAATGATCACAAGAACGGTGAGCAAAAATCCCAGAAACACACGGGGGGACGTATTGAATTACCTGCAGAGAGCTGGGACCAAAGTAACAAAGCCTACCATCAGTAACACACTATGCCGCCAGGGACTCAAATCCTGCAGTGCCAGATGTGTCCCCCTGCTTAAGCCAGTACATGTCCAGGCCCGTCTGAAGTTTGCTAGAGTGCATTTGGATGATCCAGAAGAGGATTGGGAGAATGTCATATGGTCAGATGAAACCAAAATAGAACTTTTTGGTAAAAACTCAACTCGTTGTGTTTGGAGGACAAAGAATGCTGAGTTGCATCCAAAGAACACCATACCTACTGTGAAGCATGGGGGTGGAAACATCATGCTTTGGGGCTGTTTTTCTGCAAAGGGACCAGGACGACTGATCCGTGTAAAGGAAAGAATGAATGGGGTCATGTATCATGAGATTTTGAGTGAAAACCTCCTTCCATCAGCAAGGGCATTGAAGATGAAACGTGGCTGGGTCTTTCAGCATGACAATGATCCCAACCACACCGCCCGGGCAACGAAGGAGTGGCTTCGTAAGAAGCATTTCAATGTCCTGGAGTGGCCTAGCCAGTCTCCAGATCTCAACCCCATAGAAAATCTTTGGAGGGAGTTGAAAGTCCGTGTTGCCCAGCGACAGCCCCAAAACATCACTGCTCTAGAGGAGATCTGCATGGAGGAATGGGCCAAAATACCAGCAACAGTGTGTGAAAACCTTGTGAAGACTTACAGAAAACGTTTGACCTGTGTCATTGCCAACAAAGGGTATATAACAATGTATTGAGAAACTTTTGTTATTGACCAAATACTTATTTTCCACCATAATTTGCAAATAAATTCATTAAAAATCCTACAACGTGATTTTCTGGAATTCTTTTTCTCATTTTGTCTATCATAGTTGACGTGTACCTATGACGAAAATTACAGGCCTCTCTCATCTTTTTAAGTGGGAGAACTTGCACAATTGGTGGCTGACTAAATACTTTTTTCCCCCACTGTATGTGCAGTGGTGTAGGCTGATTGGTGGTGGTGCTTGTGCTTCCTATCAGGCAGAAGTTATCTAGCGACCAAGCGAAGGTGACAACAATGCCTGCCATGGATGTTTCCCAGTTGCTTTGAATGATCAAAATCATAGGGTAAGAACACTTTTAAAGCCTCAAAGGATATATCCAACTTTCAAAACAAGTCCTTTTTGGTTTGCCACAGAAGTCAACTAGCTAGCTAGGTAGCTGTTTACCGTTCTAGCACATTCCCTAATGTTTGTAAACAATTAACAAGCTAGTTAGCTACCACACTGTCAACAGAGTAGCTAGCAAGCAACAAGATATGCCAAATAAGTCTAAACACCACTTGACTGCAAATAAATCAGATTTGACCATTCAGACAAGTCGCATGGCCAGGAATCAGAAATGTGGCTTGAAATATCCGATTCCATGTGCCTTTTGGCTGTTCAGACTGAAGGAAAAATAACAGATTCTAATCGGATATGCAAAGAAATATTGATTTGAGTCACTTCAAACTGCCAATGTGAACAAAGCTTAAAAGCTTCTATAATGCCCCCCTCAACATACCTCCATTACATGTACAAACAGAAGTGAAGCATTTCATTCAGTCCAATCACTGGCCCTTGACAATCTGACAATCTGACACTAACTGTAAGTCGCTCTGGATAAGAGCGTCTGCTAAATGACTAAAATGTAAAAAATGTGAAGAAGGCGCAACAGCGCCTCTTCAACTTCAGGAGGCTGAAGAAATTTGGCTTGGCCCCTAAGACCCTCACAAACTTTTACAGATGCACAATTGAGAGTATCCTGTCAGGCTGTATCACCGCCTGGTACGACAACTGCACCGCCCGCAACCGCAGGGCTCTCCAGAGGGTGGTGCGGTCTGCCCAACGCATCACCGGGGGCACACTGCCTACCCTCCAGGACACCTACAGCACCCGATGTCACAGTAAAGCCAAAAAGATCATCAAGGACATCAACCACCCGAGCCAAGGTCTGTTCACCCCGCTACCA